CGCTCTGATCAGAAGTGGCACATGGGGTGGGCATTGGTGATGTGTGAGGAACTGATTGGGATTCTCTTTGTGTGCATGGGAAAGGAAGTTACAATTAGGGCTGAAGGGGAAGTGGTCCTCAGGGTAAGCATTCCTGCTTTGGCCTTCTGCCATGTTAGACCACCACCATAATATACAGTAATTTATACTAGGACAAGAACCTTTCATTTTTAATTGCCAAAATCAACAATAAAGCATCTTCTAAACTATATTTTCCAGTCACCTCCTCAAAATAGGTGGAACTTTGAATCTGGGAAGTTTTAGTTCTGTATTTTAAATACTGAGATACAGTTTCTGTAAATCCAGAGTATTTTATATTTTATAAATAAAACATTGTCATAATTAAATAATGAGAATACTAAGTTATTACATGATGTATCATTATCTTCGAAGTAGTTACCTCACTACAAAACATAAACCAGATATTTTTAACCAGAAAAATTCTTACAAAAAGAAACATAATTAACACAAGGTTTCTATTCAGTGAGCTAAGATAAACCTTTAGTACTTTATAAATGAAACAAAATATATATTAAAATGCATATTAATATTTATATATTATTTTTAAAATAATGGAATATGTAATTTGAGAAAGTATTTGAACTATTTTCTCTTCTATTTTACTGTATGTTTATATGTATATATATGTGTGTGTGTGTGTGTGTGTATACACATAGTCTCTCATAAGAGAGCAACCATGCAATATTTTAGCTTGTATGTCAGATTTATATTCTCAAGTTGCATTCATTTACCTGTGAATGCCTCACATTTATCTTTCTTCAACATAATACTGCATTGTGTATAAATACCACATTTTGCTTACTCATTACTATTACAAATTGTGCTGCCATGCACATGGGTATGTATGCATCCCGGTAACATGATGATTTTAATTTTAACCCTTTTGAGAAGATACATAGGAGGAGATTGGCTGGGTCAAATGCAATTACTACTGTTAGTTTTTTGAGGAATCTACACTGTGTGGTAGTACTAGTTTACATTCCTACTAACAGTATGGTAGTTAGCAGCATTTCTTGTTTTTAGAAAATGTTTTTATGATGGCCATTGTTTCTGGGGTAAAATGGTATCTCAGTGTAGTTTTAATATGCATTTCTCTGATGACCAGCAAGGGTGAGCTTTTTTTCTTGTATTTATTGGCCATTTGTACTTGTGAGAAGTGACTATTTGTTTCAGTTGCCATTTTGGGGGGTCTTTTTTTGAGGAGGAAGTCTGTTATTTTGAGTTCATATATTCTCAGTGTTAATCCTTTGTCAATGCAATAGCTGGCAAAAAATGTTCCCATTCTATAGGTTGTTTCTTCACTCTGTTGGTTGTTTCCTGTGCTATGCAGGTGTCTTTTAATTTGATGTGATCTCATTTATTGATTCTCTGAATTATTTCATGTGCAGTTGGGGTTCTGTTTAGAAAGTTCTTGCCAATTGTTTGTGTCTGTCAAGAATTATACTTATTTTATCCTCTGGCAGATTAAGTGTTTCTGCTTCCGTGTTTAGATCTTTGATCCACTTTGATTGTGACTAATACATGGTGAGATATATGGCCCTAGACTCAGCCTTCTGCATGTGAATATCCAATTTTGCCAGCCTGGTAAACCCAGAATATTGTAGAAAGTTGTGTCTGTGAAATCATAGCTTTTAGACAGCTTTTCCAGGCTCTCTGCTATCCTAATATTAACGTATGATAAAAGATGAATTAAGGCTGGGTGTGGTGGTGCATGCCTGTAATCCTAGCACTTGGGAGGCTGAGGCAGGAGGATTGCAGCAAATTCGAAACCAGACTAGGCTACAAAGTGAGCTCAAAGCCATTTTGACCTACATCGTGAAACCCTGTCTCAAAAAGACAAAAAAAAAAAAAAAAAAAAAAAAAAACCAGAAAAAAAAAAAAAGATGAATTAAGCATGAAAACCTTACTCAACTACACATTCTAAAAAAGGAAAGACTCAGTGCTGTTTGGGAAAAATATCCAAATTAATGGCATTAAAAAAACATCATTGGCCAGGGACTTAGTGGCATAAGTGCCTGCCTGGCAAGTGCAAGGTTGTGAGTTCAATCCCTGGTACCAAAAAAAGCAAAAAAAAAAAAAAAAAAAAAAGAAAGAAAAAGAAAAAAACGTCATTATCTAATACAGCACAGCTTTTAGAGTCATAGATAACTGGGTTAATGTTTTGTCTTTGCCTCTATCTGGCTACGTTACTTAGAACAAGTTATAACCCTCTTTGTAGTCCTGAATTTTCCCCTATGTAAATAGAGGTGCAATATACGCACTCCCACATTTATAGAAGCACAAGGAAGCAACCCGAATGGCCATCAGTCAATGAGTGGGTAAAAGGGATGTGTTCTTTAAAAATATATAATAGACTATTACTCAGCCATAAAGAAAGATAAAATTGGAACATTTATAGCTAAATGGATGGACCTTGACACTATAATTGTAAGTGGAATAAATGGGACATACATGTAAATATCACATTATCTCTCTGGTGTGAGAAACTGAAAATGTAAATAAGAACAAAAATGTACAATAGATACTGTGATACAGGTAAATAGAGGTATGAAGATGAGAGGCGTTTAACATCAGATTACAGAATAATACATTTCTTTTTTTTTTCTTTTCTTTTTTTGTACCAGGGATCGAACTCATGACCTTGAGTTTGCCAAGCGATCGTGTATTCCACTAGGCTAAATCCCCAGCAAAATAATATTCTTTAAAAATTCAAGTGTTGAATATTGTGTGACCAAAAATAAGGGAAGCCATTCATTTGACTTTGGAGTAAGAATGGGCAAGTAGACTGAGATAACTACTAAGTGGAGGAGGTTTAGATCAATTTGGAATTGATCAAATACAGAATCAAGGAAACATTCTAGGAAGAGGATCTGATGAGGGCAGATACCTGGAGCTATAAAAGTGTGTGTCCTTACCAAATGTTTCAGTGTGCTCCCATAATTTTTGATGACTTAAATCAGTAACTATTAACATGTATAATTTGCCTGTTCTCTACTGTGAACTCTTTTTGGGCAAAAATCTACTTACTTTTATTTACCATAGCTTGCTCTTTATACACCAAATGTGCAAGAAGTATTTGTTGAGTAATAAAAATACTCAACAAACTTTATACCATTTTTCTTTCAATTTTTCAGATCTGCCCAGTCCCCGTACTTGTGGGGATTGAACCTAGACAGTGCTGAGCTACATTAATTTTTCGAGAAAAGTTCTTTCCTATGTAGTTTAGGCTAGACTTGAACTCACTGTGTAGCCCAGGAGGCCTCAAACTTACAGCAGTGCAGGCATCAGCCTCTTGAATGCTGGGATCACACTGCTGGATTGCAGGTGTGTGCCACCACACTAGGCTAACCCCTTTTGTTGTTGTTGTTGTTGTTACTGTTTTTGGTATTGGGAATTGAACTCAGAACCTTGTACTTGCAATGCATGCACTGTGCCACTGAGCTATATTCCTGTTTTACTTTTTGAAACAGGTTCTTGCTGTGTAGGCCAGACTGAGCTTGAACTCACTACCAGGCTGGTCTTGAACTCATGCCTCAGCCTTCTGAGAACTGGAATGACAAGTGTACATCACCACACTTAGCTGCCAACCTTTATTTTTTGAGGCATAGTCTCATTTAAGTTATCCAGTGTTTCCAAGTTGCCCAAGGCAACCTTGATCTTGCAGTCCTCCTGCTTTAGCATCCTCAGTAGCTGGGATTACACATCTGTCTCAGAAGACAATTTTTAAAAATTATTTTTGACAGGCACACTGTATTTAGATTTGGTCCTATAAAATGTGGACCTATGAGAGCCTGAAGACAGGGAAATTAGTTTATATAGAAGGCTGTAGAGGGTCCAGGATTCTAATCTGTGCTGTAATTAAGTGTAATAATTAACTGAAAAGTGGAGGCTGTCTTGGGGTTGCTCTTTCCTTACCAGTTTAAGAGTATTGATGATTAGCAAATTTTCTCTCTACTAGAATATGTGGAGATTATGTAATTTCTGTTGCTTGTTTTCTATTTTAGTATTAGAGGGAAAACCGTTTAGGGGACATGGTGTGCACTCAGTAGGTATATATTCAATGAAAAATCCAAAACGTAAGTCAGGACTTTCAATTGGAGAGATTAAACAGACTTTCAAAACCTTAACAGTGTTTTAAACAAAGTGCTGAAGCTGTTTTTCTTAATTGGTTAGGATTCTCAGTGTATTATGTTGTTCCTTGATGTGGGCAACCAAGTGGAAACATTGCTACCAAGTATGTAGAATTAAGTTTTGAAATGTAAATAAGTGGTGAATTTTATTCTAGGAGTCACATAATTCAGACTTTGCACAAGTGACACATCTTTATAATTTTTCCTGGCAATTTTTGGCAATAAACTATTTATTTATTGGCTAATGTTCATTTTGAGTTGAGTTCTAAGAAACTGGTGTTAGAAAGTTTAGGGTATAATGGACATCTGTTTTTTGATATGCAAGATACTTCCTCACTTTAGAATTCATGCTTGTCTTGCTTTCAATTTATGCTTCTCAGGTGTTAAAGTGAAATTTGATTTGTTAAAACTATGATAGAATTTTAAATTTAAATATTGACAACACTAGAAAAACTTTAGTAGTTATGCTTTCATAATAGCCAAAGGCATTTTACTTATGTGTATCCCTTTACAAATTAAAGGATAAAAAACAGAAGTTTAGTACTCACATTCTTTAGAGGCCCATAATTGAGTTGCAACATATGCCAAGGAAATTACTGTAGGTAGGCAGGTTACTCTGAAAAGAATATGTTTTATTGACCTGAAATCTGAACTGTTCTGATCTTGAATAGCATAAAATTGCCTTATCAAAATGGAGTATGTGGTGTATGTGCTGGGAAAATACTTTGCAAATATTTTAAAGTTTTTCTATATGTGTTTTGTGAGAATTGGACTGACATTCTATATATCTTTATGGTTTTTGTTTTTCAGGCATTTAAAAAATACTTAATCATTCATGAGTTGAACCTCAGTCTTGAGTTATGGATGACAAAGCTTCTGTTGGAAAAATCAGTGTCTCTTCTGACTCGGTATCTACTCTTAACAGTGAAGATTTTGTCTTGGTTTCCAGGCAAGGAGATGAAACACCATCTACAAATAATGGAAGTGATGATGAAAAAATAGGACTCAAGGTAAACCATTATAACCTAAGTTTATTTTTCATAGCCCATTGCAAATCTTGGCCTTAATGGAAAAGGGTATGAGGAAAAGTAAGGCTATGGAGTTACTTTTTTTAAAATAATGTTTTTTTTTAATTTTTTTTTTTTATTTTAAAGAGATTAAGACAAAGAGGACATAACAAAGCAGATCAGAACAGAGCAATGTAAGCAACACAATATTTTACAGGACAACCTGTAATTAACAGTAACTACTATAATGTCTCTTTCTTTGAAATAGTTGATCGTAGCTTCATATATAGTAGTATCAAACGTAACAAAATAGTATAAAACCATTCAAGAGAATGAAACTATTACAGGGCATTCAGAACCAAATAACAGAGAATAAACAATGGCTTCTATATTATCTCATTTTCCATAAAAACTTTGTTTATACTATCACACATAATAAAATCCAGTAAGATACAATATGATAGAACCAATGGAAACAGAAGAACAAAAGCATGATAGGACTTCAAAGTAAATTAAATTAGCCCTGGCTATTATAATGTCCTGTTTTCTTCAAAATAGCTATTCATACTATCATAGATAATAAAATCAAACAAATCAGGATAAAATCAATCCAACTAATGAATGCGATCATTATAAGGCTTCAAAGCAATGTAATGGGGAATCATGATTACCATAAACTCTTATGTACTCTTACCATTTCTTACACTAGGAAGACTATATGGTATTTATACATGTGTTAAATAATGTTAGTAATGTGTTTTTTTTTTTTTTTTTAGTAATGTTACTATGAATTATACTCAGAAACTGAGATTTGGTCAAGGATTTTTACTTTGACTAGCCTAAATTATGATACTTCTGTCAAAACTAGCAGTTACATTATAAACATCTATAATTTTAGTATTTTTATTTTACATTGAATTAAAGCCACTTGTTTCTTTTGAACCTTTTATATGTAATATAAAGGCACTCACAAATCATTAGTGCTACTTAATAAAAATGAAATGTAAGATTATTAAAACTTTAAATATCTGGCCTTTGATCACTTCTCTTTTTTTTCTCTAGTAAAGAACTGTTACCTTTCCCAAATGCTGTTATTCTTCTGATTTTTATAAAGATGAATGAAAACAGATTAGCCGTGTAAATTGTCATTTAAAATACAAATGATTTTTAAAATATTTCAATTCTTATTTATATCTGTTCATTCAACAAGTGTTTATTGAGTAATGGCTATGGTGCCAAATATTTAAGTACTGAAGATCTAGTGCGCAACACAGGCAAAGCCCCCTAGCATCTTAGAGCTTTTATTTTAAAGGGGAAATAAGATTCTAAGCAGATAAGAAAATAAATGTCAGGTTAATTTAGCTACTGTGAGGAAAAACAAAGGGTATGTTGATAAGGAGTGAATGACTATTATTATAATTAACTTACTTAAAAATCTTTGCCAAAATTCTGAAAACACTGTTACCTCTCACTCACTTATAGGAAAAACAAAAAGCAAATGACAGATGATAATTTAGAGAAGATCTTGATATGACCTTTGAGTTGAGACCCGAAAGAAATGAGGAAGAAAACTAGGGACTAAACAAAGAGCTCACAGGGTACAGCACATATAGGTAGAGGTTAGAGCAGAGTGAACTTGGTAAAAATCAGTAAGACACAAGATCCAGGTAGGGAACCCAGTAAGAGACTGGTTGAGTTATGTGGAACCTTGTGTAACTTTTATTAACAGGGACTTTGTTATAATAATGTAAAAGGAATTTTGGGAGAGTTTTGAATAGGAACATGATTGTTGCCAGCTGGTTTGCCAACTAAATGTTACTGGGTTCTGGGTTGCTTGCCTCTCCCTCAGGAATTAAATTCCAGGTTCTTACCTGGAACAAAGAATTCAACAAAATGGGACCAGAAAAAAGTGAAGTTTATCCAGGAAAGTGAAAGTGAAGAGTTGGGGAAAAACTGGCTGTGCTGAGCAAGCTTGGGCATAATAAAAGAGAAAAAAGCAAGATAAAAGAACACCCTGGAGAAAGTAGAGCAGACCAGGATTGCAAGCTCTTCTTGGCTTGCCTCTCCTTTTATGCTATCCAAATCTCCAGAAATCCCAAGAGAACCTCCTTATAGAGGTCCTGAGAGGCATTGCTGGGAATGCCTCAGGTTCTGCTGCAATTCTAGGGAGAAGTCCATGGGCACGGATTTGAGAACTGTTCAACACTCATGTCTGATAACTTGTAATTAACAAGTCATGCCTACTACCCTAGCCAGTTTTGCCACTCCCTACTGTCCTGTCTCATAATCTCATTTACATTTTTCAAAATTCAAAAGCTAAGCAGCATTACCAGCACAACAGTAAGCATGTCCAGCTCCCCAGCTAAACTGGTGGTAGTTACTAAAAAAATTTCAGTCTGTTCTAAAGGAAGTGTAGCAAATGAACAAATACTTATTCTAGGAAATTTACTAAAACTTAATAGCAGCAAGAATCAGTGCTGTTTGAACTAAGACCTCCCTACTCCTGCCTTTCCTTATCCCAAATGAACAAAACAGTCCCACTCCAGACTGGTGCAGTTAAGGGGAGTCTTCCTCTTTACCAGCTCTCATTCCCCAGGCTGCCTTCTAGGCAAGAGCAGTGCTCAGCATTTTTCAGCCTGCCTTCAGCTACCTGTTGCTAGCCATGTGTGACTGACAGGTGGACTCCCCTTTTCTGCCCAGTCCCTGCTCCTGCGACAAAGTCTGTACTTTGAGCACAGCAACAAAAACTGGGATGTTATTCAATGAGAGGTGTGCCAATGTCCCACCTCTTAGGTGCAGAGCTATGGCTTAGATTTTTGCATGTAGGGAAAAGCAGGCTATAAAACAGTTACTTCCTAAGCCATCCACAAAGAAGAGTTGAAGCCTATAGTTACTCTCAAAAAAAAGTAGAGGCTCACTAAATTTGGCAGTATACTCTTGGAATCCTATTTACTCTGAAGCCTGATGCAGAAGGATCACAAGTTTAAGGTCAGGCTGGTACCTTATTAAGCCCCATCTCAAAATAAAATAATGAAAAGGGGCCTGGGAATGCAGTTTAGTCCAGGGATCTAAGTTCTTTCCCCATTACTGCCCCACTCCCTCCACAGAAGAAAGTGAATGTTGTAATGAAATGATAATTGGGAGATTAAACAGTGAGTGGATATTTAGACTTAATTAACTGTAGACCTATTAGTTTGTCTAAGAAAATCAGGAAAGGTTTGGGCTGGTAGAAGACTAACCAGAGTCAAAAGGAACCTTAAAAGCTAACCTATGGAAATTCCTCTTCAGAAGAACTCATATTTGATTGGTTTAGTCTGTGGATTGGTTTATCGTCCAGTGCATTGTTGAAATTGGTAGAATAATCAGCAATTAGTGAAACTTTAATAAGGGTGGTTAGAGAAACTGAAGGTGCTCTGTCAAAACCATTTTCATCACAGGGCAACTATGATAACTCCAAATTTGAGCTCTTTGAAGAACCGCATCAGAAATTAACACTGGCAGTAGGGGAGCATATATATAAAATAAGCCACAATTAAGTGCAAACAGTAAAAAGTCCTAAAGTGGAAGCAACAGTGCAGTGCAACATGTTGTGTAAAATGTCCGTTTTTTAATGAAAAATTGTTACATATGCAACATAACAAGAAAATGTTATTCATTTATTGCAAAAAAGGTAACTTCAGGTGAGAGTGACAGATTTAGTATACAAAGCTTTCAGAGTGATCTTTATGAATTTAAGTTGAAGACATCATACTTATAAGAAGAAAGATAATGGCATTAAACAGAATGCCATTTTTGTCTCCTATCAATAATGAGACAAAAATTATTAAAAAGGAACCAAATAGAAACCCTGGAGTGGAAAAGAACCGTAACTAGATTGAGAAACTCAGTAGTGTGCTTTAAAAGTCAATTTCACCTGGCAATACAGTGAATAAATTTGAAGATCAGAAATTACCCAAAGAACAGGACAAATAAATGGAGAAAAATAAACAGCCTTACAAACATGGGACACTGTTAAATGTGCCAATACACTTGTAGGAGTATCTGCAAGATTAGAGAAATGAAGAGAGGAGGTAAAACAAATTCAGAGGAATAATGTCTAAAATCATCCTATAATTACTGAAAAGTAGTAGTAATCTATGCCTGCAGGAAGTTCAGTGAACTCCAACTATGGTAAATGCAAAGAAATCCATAACAAAAAGCCAAAAATAAAAAGGAAAGTCTTGAGACTAGTTAAATGACTCATCACTTACACTAGAACCCCAGTAAGGTTTGTGGTTAACTCTTCAGCAAAAACAGCAGAGGCCGTTGAAATAATAGAGTGGTCCAAGAAAAAACTGCCAACTAACCTAATTTAGGCATACCTTGGAAGTATTTTCAGGTTTATTTCTGAACTACTTACATAAAGTGAGCCATAGGAAATTCTGTGCACATAAGTTATATTGTATTATAGTCTGTTAAGAATACAATAGTTTGTCATCTTAAAAAGAAAACAATATATACATACTGTAATTTAAAATATTTTATTGCTAAAAAAAACCAGAAGTCAACAATCATCTGAACCTTTAGCAGATGGTAATCTTTTTGTCACAGAGTTTTTTATCAGTGTTGGTGGTGGCTGACCAAAGTTGTCTTATTTTTTACTCCTTGATGAGACAAAATACCTGATGCCCAAAATTAGGAAAGGAAAGATTTAGTTCTTAAAGTTCTTGGAGGTTTTAGTCTATACTCACTTGGCTCCAAGGCAGTATGGCAGGGCATCCTTCCTGGCCACTGCAAACAGCAAAACCTAAATGAAAGAGAAAGATCTGCCTTCTTCCCGCCACTACACTGGCTCTACCTCTGGGTGGGTGAAACACTCACATCACCAATCCCAGTGCTCGACAACAACCAATCACAAACGCTAGATTCAGTCACCTCCATGACTGACTGAGGCTTTGAGGGGACATATAAATAAAATGCAACAAAAATCTAAGTGATTCTGAAGATTGGGATGGCTGTGGCAG